AAGACCAACGACGTGTAGAATTTTGAAATCACAAACTTGAAAACGACAATGAAGAATGGGGCTTATGCTACAACTTGTCATGTCGATTTGTGCATAAACTTAAATTATGCCAAACAAAAAAAATTCATGCACATCAATAAAGTTTAAAGATTTATTTCTTTTTTCTCTTTATTTTTTTTTAATTTTCTTTTTTGTGGTCCATCAAGAATAAGGATTTTAGGGAATAGACAAATGGACAATTGTGTTTATTTTATTTTATTTTTTTGTTTTTTGGAATTATTGCTAGAAAAGTATTGAGTTAATTTGGCACTTATATTACAAAATTCAAGACATGATATTATCTAATAATAATAATAATTTAGTTTAAAAAAACTCTAAACAAAATTCAATTACTTTTGTTGATTATGAGTTGAGTCAAAATAATTGGCTAAATGGGTCAACAATTCTTATTCATATACTTCGCGTATGAAGTGTGTTAGTCAAAGTCATCGAAATGCATAACCTAGGGCAATGATGAATGTGATTACCTGAATACTATAATGATTCCTCAAATCGTGTAAAATGATTTTTTTTTTTTTTTAAAAAAAATTATGCATAACCCAAGCGTAATGGTTTGGGGTAAGATTATCACGATGACGTAAGAATACCTCAAACGGAAAACATAAAATCTATTAAAAAAAAATCCAGTTACGTTATTATTGAAGTATGAGGTCAGTCAAATAATAGGCCAAATGGGTCATTCTTATTAAAAATTTTGGCCTAGGAAGTATCATAGTAAAAAAAAAAGAATCAAGATGCATAATCTAGGGCAAGATTATCCCAATTCCATAAAATTCATCAAATATATAACATAAATCTTTAAGAATAAAAAAAAAAAAGAGCTTACGCATAACCCAAGAGTAATAACAGGAGGTAAGATTATCACGATATCATAACAATTCCAGAAACGAGCAAAATTAAATCTTTTTTTTTTCTTTATAAAAAAAGAAAAAAAGAAAAAAAAGAAACTTGTATTATGATTGGACAAAATAGATCAACAATTCTTCTTAATATTCTTTGCCTAGAAAGTATCATAGTCAAAAGAATCAGGATGCATGATCTAAGGTAACGACTAATAAAATAAAACTAATATTATAATTATTATTTTTAAAATAGAGATTATATATATAACCAAAGAGTAATGACTCGAGGTAAGATTATCCCGATAACAGAAAAATTCCTCAAACGGGTAACATAAAATCTACTAAAAAATAATTAAAATTACATTATTATTGAATTATGAGTTGGGTCAAAAGAATTGGCCAAACGGGTCAACAATATTGATCACAAATAGTTGGCCTAGGAATTATCATCGGCATCAATAATTAGGTTTGCTCGCAATGAATCTTCAATTCTTCACTGCGTATAAAGACCGCAATCAAAAGAGACCTTCAAATTATTCAACCAAAAAATAAACAATTTTTTCCTACAATATTAAAATAAATATATAAAAATACCCACTTTGATCTCTTAAGCATGACTAGAATAAAGTTTATTTTAATCCTTTTCAAAAGCACCCATCTTGGGAAAATCACCATTTTCTTTTGTGTGTGTGTGTTTTAATTATTTGAACAACAAGCCAAATTGTGCTTTTAAGATAACATTATTATTATTATTTTTTTTTTTTTTGGGTTCTTTTGTTTATAAATTGTTTAATTAATATTAATTAAATTAATGACACCCAAAAAAGTATTTTGCCGGTGATTGAGGAACAACAGGTCCCAATTTTGTGGGTCACAAGGCAAGATTTTTGGCATTTTCAAATGTTGTTTTCATAAATTTAATAATTTTAAATTAATTTGGTTTTCTTTATCTCAACTTGGACTCCAAGGCTTGCACGTTGATAGATACTAATAACTAATAAGTTTGGTCACTATAACAAGATTTAATATTTATTTATTTTTGTTAATTTAAATAATTAAAACAATTTGATGACTTCATGTTCATGACTTTTTTTGGTATACCAGTATTCAAAAATTTATGATGTTGGTTGTATGATTCTGATGATGATAACTTTAGACGTTTTTATTTTTGAATTGAGACTCTATGATAACTCTAATAATAATAATGATAATAATATATATATATATATATAAATTGCAATAAAACTGCTTATTTCTAAGGGTAATTTATCATCATAAATAAGTAGAAGGGTTCTTCCTTAAACGTCGTTAATTTGTCAACGGTTTTACATACCCTAAAATCCCTTTTCCTACGTATGATTTTTTTTGTCCTTGAGAAAGTCCTTATTGCAATCTATTTACAATCAAATTAGATGAATGTAAAAGCAACCTCACTTTAGGAGATTTTAGTCGTATACCTTCATAATTTTCAAGTAAAATGTTGTTTTCTTTTTTAAATTTATTTATGAAGTTTATAAATGGTACGATGATTTAAAGATTGACTATGAAATTGAATTAAAAATTGTAGTTTAGGGAATTGTGATAGAAATGTTGGTTAGATGGTGATAAATACCATCTTCTTGTTGTGCCTATTTTGGAGAGTTGTTGCCCACCATACTTGAATTGGGACCTTCCCTATCTCATTCTATTTATTTCATCTACCCTAATTAACAAATTTATATCTAAGGAAATGCCCCTAAAATTATAAAATTGAATAGCTTTATTTCTAAAATAATTATTTGAATCTAAATACTAGAGTTCAGAGTAGACGGGTTTGAGTATAATTTAACAAATCCCATCAAAATTTTGAAGTTTAGTATGTTTAAACATATGGGCTTGAGTTTATCAATATTAATGCAAGAGATCTTATCAAAATTCCGAAGTTTAGTGCGTTTGAGCAAATCATTTTGCACCAATTTCTCAATAAAAATAAAAAAAAAAAAAAAAAGAATCGACAATGCATGTCGTGGATGAAACAACATACCGTATCATTCATATTAAATAATTTCAAACAAAAAAAAAAATCCAAATTCTATAGTTACATGGAAGAAAGAGAAATGGTATAAAAGTGACGATTTTGCGAAATAGATAAATGTTAAAAGATTCTATATATAATTACAAAACCAAAATAAATAAACATTAATAATTAATATGATGGAATTGATATTTTAAATATTCCCCAAACATGCATATATCACGGGAAGCCCTAAAATGAACCAAACAAAGAATCTAATAGCTTTTAAGATTTTGACCAAATCCTTAAACTTATTACTTCCAAAATTAATTTAAGGGAGACAACTAGAGAGTGAGATGTCACATGTGCAATGGCCAGACGGTGCATGTGATTAGGATACAAAAACAAATTAATTGTTATTAATATGAGAATTAACAGCTATTAGTTTCCCATAATCATACCGATTCAATTCACTTATTTGAATCATTGTTGTTGGCCCCAATTTAGCCATCAAAGTTTCTCTTTATAATTTCTCTCTATTTCATCTATAGATTTCCTAATTCTATAATCGTAAAATCCAATTAGGTATTTAATAGCATCTCTGATCTCACATTGGTGTCGCATTGAAATATCATTATCTTCCAATGAAATTTATTGCACTAAGAAGATATATTACAGCGTAAACTACTTTTAGATGGTTAAGTGGTTCGATGAGGACTTTTGGGTGTATTGTTTAAGAGGTCCTGAGTTTGAATCTCTCTTCAGTTACTAATAAAGGTAGTCACTGAAATTCTTATTCTACTGATAGTTCTAAGATCTCGAGGGATTAGTTGAAGTGAACACCTTCGATGATCGAAGAATAAAAACAGATATATTACAGTGTAACCGAACGACATCATGACCAAAACCTAACAAAGTTATGAGGAAAGTAAAAAAAATGAAACATGACAATCATCATCGTCAACATGAGAACGACGACTCACACACGGACAAATTCAACATTAGCCACAATTTAAGATCGAAACCAACCCGACCCACAAGCAAATTAATTCCGCATTATTAAAGTCATCATCTTCCATTCACATCACATGGACCCAAACAGAAAATTCACTGTCTGAAATGGTGGACTTGAGGGCTAGGGTTGTGAAAATAGGGATGAATCTCGTGGCACCCACCAAGTTACTGCCAAAAAACAAAATAAATGGCAGCAGTTGCAAACAGAAACAGAAAAGTGGCAGTGTTTTTGCGCAACATAATTGTCTCCAGTAACGTACGTTTTGTGCAGGTCGTCGGCACATTTCTAGGGCTCTCTTTTTTAGGGTTTGGTTCACCTCATCTGTAACAATAATATTATCCATTTTAGTAATTTTATAATTGAGTATTTTATATCAGTACGTAAAATTATTTTATTTTTATCATGTATTTGAATTAAATAATATTAAGAATATATGGAATAAAAGATAAAAATAATTTTAATTTCGATTTAATTAGATAGCACATATAAATATCGTGATAGAATGGGAGAAGCAAGCAGTAATTGAATTGGTTCTGTCACGCATGGAGCATGTACAGGAAGCCAGGTGGTGAAACGTACGGCCCTCAGACAGTACGCTGTCGTTTTGTTAACTCAACCATCATTCATGCAACTGCTCTCGCCTGAACTATACACGTGGTGGACCCACTTCTAATTCGCTGTCAGACTTTTTAATCTGACGTGTCAGGCCCTCTTTCCACGTGGCACTCCCTCAACTTAATACCCCGTTGCGCGTTGCGCCCTCTCAAATTTTAATTATTTAATTAATTAATTAAATTTGAGGAACCAAGTACAAAACTAAAATCATACTATTACTTTTCCAATAATTAAAAAAAAAAAAAAAAAAGAGGATAAAGTTTGAGAAAGAAGAAGAGAATTGAAGAACAAAACTTTAGATCTTTACAATTTCCCCCCCAAGTGGGCCACTTCAATTTCCCCCCTCGTTCATTCCAAAGATTTTATTACATGTTTCATAATGCCCACACCTCAAAACTGCCCCTCTTTTTCTATACCAAACACACCCCAATCTTATCCCCGAAAACCATCTCAATAACGTTTCCGACTGATTTTAATAAGGCTAATATACCGAATTGATAATGTTATACCTGTCTCAATAACGTTTCTGACTAATTCTAATAAGGGTAATATACGGAATCAATAATGTCATACCGAATTCTAATATCGTTAATGACCAATCAAATAATGAAAAAATTGTGTATAATACATTTGTAAAAAGGTATTCTTTTTTTTTTCTTTTTCTTTTTTTTCATGAAGACATGTTAACATGGAGACTACCATCCATAATGGAGTCACAAACGGGGCAGGACCCGAGAAGGCTTGACCCGCAAACTGTACACAAACACAAATGCTTGCATGGCAAAACCAACACACTCGTCTCCTTCTCCCCGCACCGCCTACACATCATAATCCTCCCGTTTGTGGACCCCACCGCCGCGGAATCGCTGCTGCCGCAGCTCGACTCGGCGTCGTCTTCGGCGGTGGCGTGGCGGTGGTCCTCGGTGGAGATATGAGCCTGTAGGACTTGTTCGAGATTGGACCGCAGAGAGTTTGCCGTGGCCTCATTACTCTGGGCTAAATCCCTCCATATTTGATTCTCGACGTAGAGGGATCTGACTCGTTCTTGAAGAACCCAGTTGAGCTTTCCCATTCTTTGAATCTCGTCGTCTTTTTCTCTCAATTTCTTCAGAACCGCTTCTTGAATGGCGGATAGTATCATTCTCGATTGGCTCTTTCTTCGTTCTTCAAGCTCCAATCTCACGTTCTCCACCTAAAAATCATCAAAAAAATAATAATAATCAGAAAAATGGTTTATTTCTTCAAAACCAGGAAATGGACACGTATTAGATATAAAACTTGACTTACATGATGGGCAATGTGGCGGTCGATTTCTTGTTGTTGTTGCTGAAACTGAAAGGCGATATCTTCATCGAGAAACGATGAGAAAGAAGAAAGCTTTGATTTTTGAGAGAGGGAGGCTTCAAGATCATAGATTGAATTACAATTATTGGTATTCTCTCTCGGTCTCTTTCTGGGAGGATGATTTGTTTGATTGAGGTTGTAAGTGAGGCCGCTGTCAGCAGGCAAAAGAGGTTCAACACAAGGCAATGATTCGGCAAACGGAAGGTAAAAATCCATCTGGGTGTTGCATAAATTGTTGCCAACTTGATTAGACTTGACGAAATCCCTGCAAAAACAATAAAAAAAATTTGCACAAAAATGAGAACCCACCACTGAAAAGAGAAACCAAACCATCAACAATCTTGAACAAGATTTACCTGTGGGAGATGAGTTGGGAAGGGAAGAGATCGATATGGCGAGCTTCAACGGCCATGAAAATGAAGATTTTGGTGACAACGAGGAAGAAGAGAGTTTAAAGAGAGAGAGGTGGCGACTGTTGAGTCTTGAGAAATGAGTAAGAAGGAACGAATGGTGAAAATGGTTTATTTAGGCTTTGGTTTTTGAGAGAGAGAGAGAGAGAAAGTCAAATACTTCTAGAGGGAGAGAATCTTTTATTTATTTATTTTTTAATTTAATGCAATATAACTTTTGGGAAAAAGAAAAACATGGAAGCACATTGGATTTGGTCTTAATTTTATTTATTTATTTTGAACTAAAAATGTTACCATTTTCTCACTGATTTGATTCGATTTTCTCGCATATAATGACAAATTTGTTGGGGACCTTTCCCATTTTTATCATGGAATCAATAATAAATTTTACCTTATTATAAATAGATTTTTTTTATTAAATACGTTTTGATTTATTTTTCTATTTGACAATTTACAAGGCGGTGATTTTGTAAAAAGTAACTGACTCCTTGCATATCTCCCACGTGTCAAAAGAATTCTGTGATTCTACGTCAGCAAGGAGAAGCTACACTACGGTTCAAACACGCAGATAAACACGAAATAATTAAAAAAAAAAAACAGTCCGTTCCGTTTTTTGAAGTGAAAGTGAAACCCTGAGTGGGGCCCACGTGTCCCACGTGCGACGGAAGTGAAGATCCTTTTTTTAATTTCTTTCGTTTAAATAGGATAATTTCAGTATTTTAGAAATATCATGAATTAAAAATAAAAAATATTGTTCGGTGGGTCTATCATAGGGGATTACGGTGGGACACCATAAGGTTGGGTTTATTGCGGTTTCCCCGATTTGCTACCTTGTCTCCTTCAATCAAAGAAATTTATATAAATTGTAATGCGTGTCGCTGTACGGACAACTTGCTTTTGCTTAGGAGTGGAGGCAGGGGTGGGGTGGGGTGGGGTGGGTGGGTTGGGTGGCACTGGCATGGCAATGGTGTTTATTGTCATTTCTTCAATTTACCATATTACCCTTTTTATTATTATCTCTCCTACCGATGTACGCATTTTTTTTTTTAAATACGAATCACGTTGATCGACGAAAAGACGATATATTATGGTAGTTAATATTAAAGGAAAAACAAAAATGTAATGTCCTTTTTTTTTTTCGAAAACATATAAAATGAATTTTCGTTTAGGGTTTGTTATTCTCAACTAAGAGAGGTTCGTATTTTCTTGAACCCTTACAGCATTCATTTTGTTAACAAACGATAAGGAATATGTTGAGTAATTACCGTTAATAATATCAATCTGATTCAAACGGCCCCTAACAGTAAAAAATAACTACTCTAATAATTGGTATATATATGCGTCCTAAACTAATATATTTTCTAGTAATTTCTTAATTTGAAATTGGTTTAATTTTTTTTATTTTTTTTTTTCAAGGGTTGGATAGGTCAAAATCAATTAAGTGCTATTGCAGGCTCAAAATCAAAACAAAAGCAAAAGAAAATAATGCTTGCTTTTGATATTTGGTTGACAAAATAAATTGAATAAATTGGTACATCCAATCCAACCATATTTTTTGCATTAATGAGTTGACAAAATAGGTTCACAAATTTGTCATCGAGTCATTGATTTATTTAATCCTTTTCAAGTGCAATAATGGATATAGATCATGATTAAGGGTTGCCATTTTCTTGATATGATTCAATAATTATTCTTCAAATAAAAAAAAATTAATAATAGTATTCAAGAATATAGCATACATAATACTGATAATAGAAATTGTTAACTACTTTTGGGTGATCGAGTGGTTCAATAGGAACTCTTAGGATATTACTCAAGAGGTTTTGAGTTCAAATCTCTTTTGGTTGCTAATAGGGTCATTAGAGCTCTTACCCAGCTGATTGGTTCAGGTTCCGAGGATGAGTTGAATGAACATAAACTGGTCCGGACACTTCTAACTAAAAAAAAAAAAAAAAAAAAAGGTCAAATTATTTAGTAACATCTAAGAAAAATAATTGAATAAAGACGCGTATTATCATTTTAGAGAATATTTTTTTGTGTTTGCATGTTTTGATATAAATTTTAGAAAAAAATTACAAAAAATCTAAAAAAAAACGTTTATTTTTAAAAAAATTATTAAATAAAAGAGAGAAAAACACTTTAGAATTATTGATATTTTGTTGGATTTTTTCTTGAGTAATAATAATCAACTTGACTTTTGTATGAAAAGAAAAAAAATGATTATAATTTATACATAATAAATTCTCAATAACTCAATTTATTTTTTCTCATAATTAATTATTGATTTTAGAATAAATGGATATGTATTATTATATAATTGAACAGAGACGCACGATAGTACGTACATATAAACTGTTCAACAATCAAATTAATTTGGTCCCCGTAATAAATTGAATTAATGGGATATCTTCCAACCATTACATTGGGTAAATTGACCAAAAATAATGTAGATGGAAAGGGTCACCCACCATCAGCATGCCCCCAAACTATATGTATCTAACATGTCTTAATTAATTAAATTCTCTCAAAAGTGAAAGGAGATATATTAAAAAAAAAAAAAAAAAGCAAATTTAATGTAGACAGATGGATTGATTCTCAAACCCACTTTCCTACCTTTAATTTCTTTCGTTCCTTTTATTATGCTGCTTCCACATTTCAATTCCCAACGGTGCTTACTCTTTCAAACCTTTACATTTTTTTTTAAAAACTTTATTTAAAAGTATTCTTTCATGATCTTCCATAATTTATACTTAAAACTAAATACATAATTACGTTAATATATATAGTTAATGGATATTACTGATGATAGTTGTTATCTTTGTCAATGCAACAGTATTAAGAAACGCCAAATTAGTAGTAAAAAATCCCTTTAAATTGTCGAAAACAAAAAAACGTCAAAATATCATGTCAAAAACTTAAATCAAATTTATCAGAGAAGGTGAATAGAAATGTTTTTTATTTAGGTAATTATATGAAGACTTTGATTTTTACGATGACGTCTAACGATAACGACGTAATAAATAATTTTGAACAGTACAATTAGTGTAATTTTTAGATTGTAATACAAGCATAATCAAATCTTTTAACTAGTTAACTCGAAAGTGGAATATGAAAGTTGAATTATAACTTTCAAAAGAAGAAGAACAAAAGTAACTACAAAATAAGCGAAAACAAACAAGAAGAAGCAAAGCACAAGAGTCGATCAAAGTTAAAAGAGTTAGCTAGAATATCTAGCTAACGTATATATGTCAAAAATATATAGTTTCTTTATAATTGTATATGCATATAGTTACGATGGTGACATACATGATGGGTGCAACTAATTGCACTATTAAATTATTGGAGATTGGAGTTCCACTTCTTAAAGAAACTATATATAATAAAGAAAGGTATGAATGTAAATCACTATTATATTAGAAAATATCAGACAAGAAAAGTGGTTATTTTTTTTATTTTTTATAATTTAAGCAATGTTTTTAACGTAAAAATATTAACTATAGGTAAAATGATCATTTCACTTATTAAACTTAACAAATTTTATGATATCAACAAACCCAAACAACATAATTACCATAAACCAGTCAATTTATAAACCATTTAAAGGTATAAATATATATGCATTATTGGGTAATAATACCAAATCTAAGAAGCAAATACTGATATAGTAAGATAGCACTTCATCTTCGTCTTCGTCTTCCCATTTAAAATTTCTGAGAAGTTTCCACTTACGAAAACGTAGATGCTAACTTTACTTTCAAAGTATATAATTTCTAGCAATAATGGCACTACCTAGTAGCCACACTCTCTTCACTTTACCTTTCATCTTCAAAGGTTGGTTTTATCTGCCAAACACTCGGAAGATCCTATGATGATTCAAAAGGAGGAAAAAAAAAAAAAAAAATTAAGTGCTTCCCAATCCACTTTTCCTTTAGGTTGGCTTCTTATTACTTCGTTTACCCCCTAAAGTTTTTTGCATGATAATTTATCCCTTATGTATTAATGTCAATCCCATGTCCCTAGTGAATAGAACCTGTATTTAATTTATAAGTTTGAGTCCTCTTAACTAAAATAGACATATTTTGTGAAAGACGTTTGCTTGAAGCTAAAAGCAAATCAAGAGGATGTGGTTCAAAACGGATAATATCTATTTTTTGGGCGTTAACAGATCATTAGTAAAGAAAATAGTTAGAGTTTTAGTGGTTTAATTTAACAATTGTTTGTGATTAAAGGGTATGTTAGAATTTCAGTGTTTAACTTAATGAATCATTAACAGAGGGTACGTCAAGCTATAAGTAAGGGTCAGATTGTTATTTCATTAATTCAAACAGATCATTAGCAAAAGGTATGTCAAGGCGTACATAACGGTGTTAGATAGTTATTTCAGATACTTAAGTGAGAACATTTTATTCGAAGAAAGCTAAGGGGGAAAATTGCATTGAGCCCTAAAAAAAATATTGGATCTTAAATATCCCAACTCTTGTTTCAATTCCTACAAGAAATCAATACAATCTTGTAAGCATGAGATGAAACAGAATCACTTTTATACAACTTTGAGGATGCTTTTTAAAGTGGGTAGCTAAATTATGGTTGAATGGAAGTCATTTTTTCATAAAGTGCTTCTTCTTTTTTTTCTACTTAAATTAAAAATAAATAAATAAAAAAGCATGCAAAAATGGGTCCCTCCAAATACTTTAAATCTAGGACATGTGCTTAAATAAGTTGAGAATAGGCACCGAATTTTTAAATATAAAACTTACCCCAATTAGAGTAAATTAGGTTGATTGTTAAGATCAAATGATTTGACACCACTTTAATTAATTCTATTTATTTAACTATGGCGGCGCGGCCGGCGCCTAAGAGGGGTTGTTAGTTTATATAATCTTAAATTAATTAATGCTTTGCCAACAAATCCTACCCGTAATGATATTATTAATTTTCTTGCTGACTAAGAGCAATACTATTAAATTAAAGAGAGCTTTAGGATGGTGTATGTATGAACTGTAATTTGATATAAGAAATTAAAAATTAATGGTAAAGATTAAGTGTAGATATTTTAAAATTTTTAACGTTTTATCCTAAAATTATTAA